CGCCCCCTTCCTCCTTCAACTTGGGACAGGAAGCGGGCGGACCACCTTCACGTCAAGTAGGTAGTGATTCGTTTGAGAAGGTGAAGAAAGTGATCTTATATCTTACTTGTAGATCCTCCGAATACAGGGGCGGATGTTTGCGAAGGACGATGATAAACATACACATTAAAACTATTCGCATACAATATAATTGTGAAAATAAGTGTGCATAATTAAGCTGTTTTTACGGGAGAATTGACTAAAAGAATAATTTGCTCTTTAGGTTATTTTTCTTGGAAAATCGTACGTTATAGCTGTCGTTAGCTGCGAGAGTATAAACTAGAAAAAGGAGAATCTTCTTTTAATAATATATAAACACAGTGCTTCACTTTATTTCAAGAAAATCTAAATTTTATGTAATTTAGCTACCTTGCATTGCTCATCAGAAGCCATTGCGAGAGTAATGGCAATACAGAGACAACCTTCCTAAATAAAATAACGAAACTTCAGAGTGATTCAATATGATTTGGGGAAGATGCTTCCAATTTGACCACGTCTCTGGATAAAATTTCTTATAACTTCTTTCTTTTGAAACGGACCTCAATATCAGTGGCATATTCAGAATCCTCATATCTCAAAAATCAGAAAAAACTTGCTTAGGGAGTTAATTTGTTTGACTTTGCGAGGGTGGTGAATATATTTGTACTGCGATATCCAGGTCCCCATGTCGGCGTTTTCGATGTTCTTATGGTACCTGAATATTGAAAAATCATCCACCCTCGCAAAGAGACAGAAATCGCACCGCTGTGTCTGTTTAAAGAGAGTTCAAATTTGTTGCTTCCAATTTGCCGCTAACTGAACTTTGTATTCATGTTTATTTAAATGAACTCGACGATGGAAATTAATCTGGACGCTGCCGTTAAGACAACGCTCCATCTACTCGGTAACAACCTGTCCTTTTCCAAACTCATTGCAGCTCTGTGTATATTATGTAAGAATTAGTTGCGAATGTGCCTGCTTGGTACTCTTGACGCCTTAATGTTGCAGCATTCTTGTGTTGACACTATTTGTGGTAAGCTCCGGCTATGGATATCTTTAATTTGCTAGATGAGTGGACCCAGTCCAAGTAATTTATCTATTTATCACTTATCTTCAATAAACAATCCAATTCAACGAACTTTTTGTTATAGAAAGTTGACGTATTAGTCACCAATCGTAGTAAATTATGTACAAGTTTTGATATTAAATTACCATAAACGAGCGCACCGTCCTTTCAAAGCTTTTCAGTGCATGGGAAATGTTCAACATATCGCGCAATCGCTCCTTGCCATATGATGGCGTCGTAAACGTACGACCGAGCATTATCTTTAGGCAAATGGACGGAACTAGTGAGAACACCCTGTCCTTTGCATAGCAACGCAAAGTATGTCAGTCTTCTACTAAGGTGTTGCACAAAATTGAGTAGGAACCTCCTCCTGAAAGATCATGTAGTTTTGCGACTGTACTTGGCTGCTTTGTTTCTCAATATGCAACATTTTGCAGCCGTTATAGAATACCCTTTGGATTTACCCACATATGCGGCAACGTGGTAGCACGTTTAGCTTTTGAAAGCACATTTTCTGAAGATAATGCAATTCAGGAGTATGCTTGCAGGTGTACAGCACACGAACAAGAAATGCTATCATCAGCGATGCATTCGCAGCTGCGCTCGTTAACAAAGTTCCTTATAAAACGGTTTTCGACCTGCTTCAATATCTGACAGTTGAAAAGGTTTAAAGGATTTTTGAATTCCAACATTTGAACAACATGGCAAATTAACAAGTTCTTCTCTTCTGTTAAGGACTATTTGCCTTGGGCAGAGGCATTAAATGGATTTTTCACTGTGTTGGACTTCTTCGGCAATGAACCAGAGATCATATATGCTCGGGTAGGTAACAACGGACTTCCACAATTAAATTAGATTGTAAGACATGTTGATTTACAGCAGTTCATGCTCAAATTGCTGGAACCGATTTATAGGAATAGCAGCTTCGAGCATATTGCAGCTGAATACAAGAATGACAAATTGTTTTTTGAAAAGTTTGTTTCTTTCTTTATAAACTTGTCTTCTCAAAAATTAACTTAAGTTATATTTTAGAAAGCTTTGCACTTTTTATCAATTTATAACTCCAAACTTCCAAGAAAGCGTTCTAGATAATGAATGCCTGATATTTTAGCATGGCTTTACATTTATTGTTAAAAGGTTTAAAGCAGACGTTATACAATTCATGTATATTAGATCAAGAGTGACATCGTGGATTTTTGTGCTTACAAATAATAACTGTTTCTTATTCGGAACTTATGCTTAAGCAGCAAGTATCTGCCTACACAAAAAAGGAACGTACATTTACGGCAATCACTAACTCCAGCCGAGGTAGCCAAAAAAGCTTTGAAATCAATGATGCGCATTTCATTTAGCTGCTAACAATCACCATTCAGCGACCGAGTCAAATCTCAAATAGAAATGGTTTTCAGCAAAAATTGACGATAACCGAAATCAGATAAATAACCGAGACTGCGGAGGGTACAAGATGTAAAAGGATAAGCGAGTGTGATGGTTTACGAAGAGTGCTTTGCAGCCAGGCTCTATTTACTTTTTCCAATCGGTTGCGCCACTAGCGACTGAAAATCAAGATATTTTGTAGAGGCTGGATGATCTTTAAAGTTCTTCCCCAGAATCAATTCATAATATACAAAGTTGGGCAAAACCTTTTGAATCTATTGTAGAGAAAATGCGATGAACACATTTTTCCACATATCTTTCTCATGTCTAGAAGGGGATTTTGTCAAGGAATCATGCAGAATTTTGTATTTGCACGACGAAGTCAGCCCAGTGTATGCTTCTCTTAATAGTAGGGGTCTTCAAGGCCAGTATAGTTCTTATTCTCCATAATGTGACCTATACCGCCAGCAAGGTTGACTAGAGATCGCTTTAGCTAGAGCTTTCACTCGCGTCTACTCTTTGTAAAAGGAAAGGGTGTCCTGAAATTACAAGTTTTCTTCAAAAACATATATCTATACTCAAAATGACAATGAAGAAGGAGTGTTCCTTAAAAAGTACTTATAAGTTATCTGATATTTTAGGAAGAGCACTGGTTAAATCATACTAATTCGCTATTGGTCCATAGCTCATGGCAGTCACCTTCAAAGGCTAACAACGGAAGGATACTTAGTGGCCGTGGCCGTTGAGAATGAGATGTATATCAGAAGATTAGTTTTAGGACACAAATCTCAAACATTCCTTCCTTACCTGCTAAACGATTCTTACAAGGAAGTTATGGACCGGCAAAGTTCAACACGGTGGTTTGTAAGAACTTCGATAACAACATGCTACAAGGAGCGTGTTGTGTAGTGGCAAGTGTGCTGTCTGTCAGGTAAGTCATGCAGGTTGGATTCCTGTACGGTGCAAGGTCTTGCATTTTATCTAATTTGTTTCTTTTTACCAGGAAGCCGATCCATCACAATTATGCTATCTTTACGTTCATTCATAACTGAAAAAATTGGTAAAAACAGAAAAAATTTCTTAAGTAAATTTATCAACTCCAAACACATTCTACAATAACGATTCACAAAGACCGCTTTTTATCAACTCATGCACATAGATGATGTTCTGCTACGAAGTGATTGAAGCAGAGAAGATGCTCGCAATGAGCGCACCGAATAAAAAACAGTTTACTGCAACCAGCTAGATCACAATGGCCCAGAAAGTTAGGCGAAAGCAGTACTGGACAGGAGTTTCAAAATGGCCAGGGTGTTTTTAGAAAATTCTTAAATCTCGGGGCGCAAAAGTGGAAAAAATTGGAGATAATAGCTTAAGTATTGAGTTTCTTCTTACCACTTAAAGCTATTAAAGCAGTTCACATCATATGTTTTAGCTCACGATCTTAATTTTACTGTACACAACCGAAACACAATACCTATGTTATCTCTAATTTATTCTCAATTTCGCGCTCCAAGATTTAAGGATATTGTTTAATATTCGTGGTATGCAGCAGGATATCTAGATACGCACCCTGGTCATTTTGAAACTCCGCTCCAGTACTGTTCGCCTAACTTGCTAGGCCATTGTGGTCTAGCCAACTGCAGTAAACTGTTTTTCATTTGGTGCGCTCATTGCGAGCATATTTTCTGCTTCCATCACTTCATAGTAGACTCTATGTGCATGAATTGATAAGAAGCGTTTTCTGTGAATTGTTATTGTAAAATGTGTTTGAAGTTAGTAAATTTAGTTTATAAAACTTTTTCTTTCTTTACCAATTTTCCACTTATGAATGAATGTTAGCATAATCGT